CTGCAGTGAACCCGGGGGGCTCGGGCCCCCGAATGGTGCTTCGCGCCCGGGGCCTCGCCCCAAAAGAATAACATGCTTGCCAGCACGCAGGGGGGGCCTTCCGCAAACAGAGATCGCATCAGGCGCCGTCGTGCGCCGGACCAACGATGCATCATACCATCAACTAGTTGCCAGAAAGGCAGCGAGGAACGCGGCATCCGAACGCGCACGCAGTTAGAACCCCGCCGTGAGATGCGTCGGTGGCTGTGAGGCAGGTGGGGACATGCCTGGGAGGCTGAAAGGGCATAAATCGCATCAGGAGCCGTCGTACACCGCAACAACGGTTCGGGCAGCAGCGGATGCAGCTCACGCCAGAGCCGTGCCACAGTGCTGGCATCGACGGCAGTGGCAGCAGCTCACGAGTCATCCTCGACTCAGGCTCACCATACCACCTCACCGGTGACCGCTCTCTGCTGCACAAGCATGTCGTCGCCGGCACGCCATGGCTGATCGAGTGGGGCAACAACCAGCCGGCCGATGTCATGGGAACAGGGAAGCTGCATCTGTGTACGCGTGATAGACAATGTCCGGCTGCACAACGTGCTGCACATCCCCAGCTCGGGCCTCACCCTGATGCTGTCGACCTTCTCATGACACACGGCTGCTCGGTCACATTCGGCACGGACAAGGCGGGCTGCTGGTTCTCATGCATCGGCCTCCCGCACAACAGCCCGTCTATCACCGCATGGAGCGAGCGTGGGCATTACGCATGGATGTGGACCTGCAGGCGCTGACCGACATCACCGTCAATGCCCTCGGCACCATGGGTGACAGAGCCGGTGGGGGCCAGGCCGCAGTTAGCAGTGCTGGCGGAAGTGCCGCCGCTGTCCCCAGCGCCCGTGGCGGCAGCACCGCCAGCAGCCACACCGGTGGAGGCCAGCCGGACGGTGACAGCAACGGCAAAGGGCAACCAGGCAACGGCAGCCCCGGGGCCGCTGAATGCTCAGTCGCCAAACTCGTGGCAGCACACTGGCAGCACCGCCATTACCGTCACCTTGGTTACCGCATGCTGGAGCAGCTGATCAGCAAGCACCTGGTGCAAGGACCACAGGTAACTCCAGCGGTACTGCACCAGGCGGTGGAGGCCGTCTGCCAGGCCTGTGTCACCGCTAAGGCCACCGCAACCGCCCACCCCCACCATGGCAACCGGCTGCAGCACGCACTGGAGGTCGTACACTCTGACCTGTGCGGGCCCATGCCGACCATGGGCCGAGGGGGCGCATGCTACTTGCTGATGCTGCTGGACGGTGCCACCGGTCTGTCCGCCATACACACGCTGGCCAGCAAGAGCCAAGTGGGTGAAGTGCTGCAGGACATGGTGACGCAGCTGGAGGCCGGCCACCTGAACCATGCATGGGTGCACATGCTGCACAGCGACAAGTACATCGCCGAGCAACTGGGGCAGTGGCTGCACCAGCACGGCACCATGCACACCCACTCGGCGCCATACACCCCGGAGCAGAACGGAGCTGTGGAGCGACTCAACCACATGCTCGTCGACCATGTGCGGGTGATGCTGCATGACGCAGCACTCCCAGGCAGCTACTGGCCGGAGGCTGTGCTCTACACTAACCTCCTGCATAATGTGGCCCCCTCTCAGGGCCGGGAGGTCACGCCGTGGGCTTATCACGGCGTCCCCCCCGACGTCAACCACCTCCACACCTTCGGCTGCCTGGCCTACGTCCGCCTCCCAGCCAGCCAGCAGGACAAACTCGGTCCTCACGCAAAGGCGGGAACCTACCGCCGACCGGAGCACGGCATGGCCGCCCACCACGTCCTCGTCGACCACCGCGGCCCGATTCACAACGGGCGGGCACCCCCTTCGACACTAGCCCCACCCGCCCCGGCAGCAGCGACCCGATCGGCGGCTCTACACTGCCCGCCTTGCTGCCGACCCCAGCGGCCGCCCGTGCCCCTGGCGACCCCAACACCACCCCTCCCCCCCAACACCCGCAGTCAACGGCAGTCCCTGCACACGCCGCTGGCCCCGGTCAATTACGGCCTGCTCCCCCTACAGCAGCAGCAGCGGCGGCGGTGGAGAGTCGGGAAGTCCACCGCTGCTCGTGTGGTAGTGCTGACAGCGCTAAGTCTAACATGCCCCAGGCAGTGGCGGTGGCAGAGGCAACAGCGCGGTGCACACTGCCAACGACATGCTGGTGACGGCGGACAACCTGCAAGTGGTCGCGGCGGCCAAGGCAGCCATCACCGGTTGCTTCACAGTGCGTGACCTTGGCGAGGCGCACTACTACCTCGGCATGAAGATCGTCCAGGATGGCCGCAACCGCTGCATCATGCTCACGCAGCGGTGCTATGTGGAGCAGCTGTTGCCCCAGCCTGGAGAACGCCAAGCCGCGCGCAGCCACCGTTGCTGCCTCAGGGCACGCGGGCTCTGCCAGCCAGCGACGCCGACAGTTGACAGTGATTGATGGCAGCTGGTGGGCGAGCTGAACTACCTCGCCACCAGCACACGCCCGGACATCACACACACTCTGAGCATGCTTGCGTGACACATGCCCGCCCCCACCAAGGACCACATGGGCCTCGTGCTGGGCGTGCTGCGCTACCTATCCGGCACCCGCACACTCGGGCAGCGGTACCGTGGTGACAGCGGCAGCTACGCCCGCAACTTCGGCAGGTACAGTGATGCGGGCTGGGCTAGCGACCCAGCCACCCGCCGGTCCACCACGGGCTACACGTTCTTGCTCGGCAGCACGGCGATCAACTGGAGCAGCCAGTTGCAGTGCACCGTGGCTGCCTCGTCCGTGGAGGCCGAGTACCAGGCCGCTGCGGCAGCCATGCGTGAGGCACTATGTGGCTGCACAAGCTGGCGGGCGACCTGGACCTGTCACCTGGCGCCGTCAACATCCAGCTGGATTCGCAAGGCGTGCTCAGGCTCAGCAACAACCCCATCACGTTGGTGCGATCCAAGCATATCGATGTGCACCACCACATCATGCGTGAAACGGCCGTGCACGGTGAGGTTAAGCTCAGCTATTGTACCACCAACAACACGGTGGCTGACATCCTCACAAAGGCACTGGGGTGAAATCAAGTTCGTGCACTGCCGCGCGGTGCTGGGCGTCACTTAGACCGCAGTTGGCCGTGCGGCCCCCGTGGCTACGGGTGGCCTGCTGGCCGGTTGGGCCGCGCGGATAGGCTTGGCTGTTTGCTCTTTCTGCTGTGTAAGGCCCGAGGCAGAGGTGCAATTCTCGCCAAAATCGTCCAAACCACGCCGTTCAGCACCATCCGGTCAGCCAACAGAACCAGTTAAGGGAGACAGTAACAGAGAACCGGTGTTTCACTTCAAGCCCCTAGGTTTGGCCGCTTGGTCACCCCTGAGCGGGCACATGTTTTGGCTTCCTATCGACCCTTCCTTCAGTGGGCGTCCGTCAGCATCTGTTGAGTGATCCGTCGCGTCGGTGGCGGTGGGTCAGTCTGTTGGCGCTTTGCGTTTATTTTGTTCGCTCTTTTGCCTGCGTAGAGGTGGTGCATCCGCCGCCCTTGCTGCTGGGGTGTCGTTCGGAGGTCTTTCGAGGCGTTTGGCTTCGGGAGTTTCGGTGTGGGCGCCTGTCTGGCAGCTCTCACCTCTTTGGCCCTCTTGCGGCTCGGCACGAAGCGCCGTGGTGGTTCAGTAATTCAACCGTTAGAGGGGGTATCTATTCCTTTGCCATTTGTCTTTGACGCAACAACTCATGCGAGCTTGCGTTAAGTAAGATGGGTTAGTTGTGCGTAAGGCCCAGTGCTGCCCGTGTCCTCAATTCATTCCGCGCATTACCCTAATAAGGTTATCTTTAATTTGTTGTTCCGCGCGTATGCATTTTTTATACTCACGCTGATCCTTCAATGACGACAGTGTAAGGTAAAGCCCAATGATTTAGCATTCATAACAAGAATCTGTCTTTCTTACTCTATAATGGGCGCACCATTCATTCGCAGGCAAGCAGCGGGAAGCAGGAAAAGGGGGACTAGACGGCACCAGGCAGTAAGTGGCCATCATGCAGGTGCATACACTGACATTATGCCTTGCCATTTTACATTCCAAGGACACGAGCAGAAGGACAAGCGCAAGGAACAGGACAAGCGCAAGGATGGTAAGGATATGAACAAGAGTCGGGCTCAAACGGGACGTGGCAGGCCACGTAACGGCCGTTCGGAGGTATGAAGCCTCTGGTGCAAGACCATGGCTATTAACTAAATGCTTTTTATTGCGTTATTTCGAGGCACGTTATGCCGGTGTCACACCTACAGCCGTCATTGCACGTAACACGCTCACAACTATGTGTTCCTGCCTAAACAATGATTTGTTGTGATGCAGAAATATGCCTTCCGTCGTGAACATGACACGCGAGCGGAGGCGAGGATTGAGCGCTTTAACAAGAAGACAATAGTGGCGGTATTGTGGTACAGTTACATGCGCTTAGCTTTTGTGTGCCCATTTTTTCTGACGTTTAGACTGTTGAACCCGTTTACATGGAGTTGCTGGCTGAGTTGCATTAGGATTTGCTATGAATTCGTACCTGTTATTCAGGAATAGTTGAAATGTATGAAGAAAACAGTGAGTGCTGTGGTTCACAGGTCATGTGCAACGGCGGTGCACTTTGCACATTGTACAGCTCGTGTACTGCTATTGTAATGCTTTTGTATTGCACGGTTGGCCGTACAGTTCGCAGTCCCGCACGCAAATCGCAGTCACTCGCGTAAAATTCAAATGGTAGCACATGAATTCGCAGGATTCGCAGTCGCGTAGCCATTCGCAATCCCTTGGCGATGCGCTTGCGTTAAAAGTCACCTGGTCGCGTTTAGGGTCGCGTAAAACTCGCGATATCATTCGCCACATTCGCATATGCATACGCAATCACACCAGTCGCAGCCGCGTATGACATTCGCTTGCGTTTGCGTTACACCTATAGGTAAGGTAACGCTCGCGTTAAAAGTCACCTGGTCGTGTTTACGACCGCGTTAAGTTTGCGTTAGTTTGCGTTAGTTGCTTAAGCTAACGCACTGCCAGCCAAAATTACTCAGCTCGTTCGCATGCGAATAAAGATGACGTGCGTTACATCGCGTTAAACTCGCGTTAAAGCCTCGTAACGCGAATTTAACGTCGTCATCACCCGTCGTCAATCACCCGTCGTCATAGTGATGGGCCGAGCTTCACGCTGTCCTGTCAAATGCGTCGATCCCGGCACCTGGTCTTGAGTGTGTGCTGATGATGTCCGCTGCTCATCGACAGGAATCTCAAGCATCCTGTACACATTTGGTTTGCATCAGCACTGTGTCGAGACATTTCACGTCAGCTCATGTTAGGGCCCAGGAATCCCGGTTAGTTCTCTGGCTATTGTAACCCCTTTGCCATGACGTTGCTCCGGACTATTTCGAGCGGCCCGCACTGTTACCCACTGCTTCCTACCCAGCCTGCTAGGAAACCCCATTCACTCACGGAACCAACCAGCGGACACAGCAGCCCGTTACAAATACAGCACAATGAAGCATGCCGCCGGCGTGGGTGCTTATTTGGAGAGCAGCTAAGACATAGTAGATAGAACCACACGGCAACACAAGGACAAGTTGTTTTGGTTAAGAGTGGCAACGAGGCAGCAAGGAGACGCACGGGGCGAGGCCCACCTGGAAAGAACTGAACTGAGCAATACCTAACACGAAAACGCACACCTTGAACAGCAATACGGCTCACGCCGAAGCTTGAGAAATTCTGTATGGGATGACTCAGCAGTCTATAGCCACCAGTCCAGAGGGAAGTAGCGTGTAAGTCCCCCATGAAGCGGCAGAAGGCATTGGTTTCCGAGAGAGGCAACTCTCAGGGCAAAACTGCAAGCCGCGGCTGAAGACGAGGACACACGCAAGCCCAAGGCACCCAATTAGTAAGACATTATGATGAAGCAAGAATAACTATTATCTATATGGGGTGTCTAGGACCGACACCTGACCACGCAACCTTTTGAAGGCAGACTCAGAGACAACGCAATTCGTACCCAGATGGCCTCTTCAACGAAAATTGGTCCCGGACGTCGGGATGCACCCACTCGCATCGCTGCCGCCATAAATCTGCGGCCATACTCCGTGGCACCGGTGGTGGCTAGGACCCCACCCCACCCCAAGCACACTGTTGAAAATCCCCCGGACAGACACCAGCCACACTTGCCTTACAGTAAACATTACAACTAATCAGCATGTTAACCGGAGGCATGCAGGTCTGGGCGCGATTCGAGACATTAACATGACGATTTTGGTTGTATGATGGGGCCACCAGGTTCAGTGTCAGTATGAAGGCAGAGGGAGACCCTGTCACTCGTTCTTGCTGACCAGACATCTCGCTAACAACGTGGATATCCGCTATCTCTGGCCACATACGTATCTGAGGACCTGCAGGCCTAAGGTCCAGAGAATGGTGGTAACGAGTCCGTGAACAACAGCCAGGACCTGCCATTGGCTTGCAAGCCCCCTATACGGTCCACATCAACCAGTCCCCATTCCTCTTCATAGCGCTGCAGCACCACACTGACATTCGCGCTCAGCGACAACGGTGCAGAGAATTCCACGAAGATGGAGGGCCGTGACCTGATGGCATGTGTAGCCCACAGCATGTACGGTGACGACATGCTGCGGTATCCATTCTTGAATTCATACAATAAGGAGTAATTCGCATATAATCCGCCTATACCATACAAGGCCAGAGCCGGTGCAGAGCTGCCAAGGGATGAGTAAATTGGCGTGGGAGCAGTGCTGCTGCCTGCCCAGCGCCATGCAGACACAGGTGGCGTGGGTGGTTGGTCCACCCACACTGAATCTAAACACTTGACGCTATAGTTGGAGACCTTCTGGCAGCCCTGAAGCATTGGTTCATCCCAGTAATCCTCCATGATGTCAAGGCGGACGATATCGACATAGGGGTAGCTAGTATTCCATCTAGCCCGAGGTGATCCTTTAGGTGCAACGGGGCCTGACCGCTGAAGCATAATGCCAGTGCGGGGCTTGCCAGGCGGCCCACCAGCCAACAGTGTCGCGATGGGTGAAGAGAACTCCACGTACACCCAGGGTGTACGATATCTGTACTCTGTGAGCGGCATGGTCCAGCTGCTGGGACGGGAGCGGGTGCCATCCGCATAGGTGTAAACAACACGGTAGTCGACGTCCATGGAGCCGTTGGCCAAGAAACTCAGGTTGGTGGGATTTATTGCACAGTTGCCGTTCGCTCTGTATAGAGTTTTCATGCACTGCACTGGCGGTGGCGTATCTGCATCATGCAAACGCGGATTCATCGATGGGAATAATCGTCAAGAGATGTTGGCAGTTATAGATGTATACAAACAAAAGCATTCCACCATTTTATGGAATTGAGCTTCGAATTCGATTGCTTTGACTGCACAGTACCTTTTGCATGGCATGTCGTTAGAGGTAGACAAGGCGCATACATGCGAGGAAATGTATACTTGCAAATAGACAAGTACATTTAGTATGATGTGTGGGACAAGGGGGTCATTTCTTCACCCTGCGGCCGCTACCAGACCCTGCCTTCCCCGGTATTTCGGGGCACCTTCATCAAGTCAGTAATCTTCTCATCGGATATTGATCGATCGATCGCTCAGGTTCTGCACCCACCACCGGCATTCAACTCCATTCCTGGTCAGCTAGCAAGTTAACTTTGTCCCAGGTCATCACCGTCCATCGACTAGGAGCACCATACCTTCCACCATCGGAGGAGTTTTTTGACCCTGACAGGTCTCGATATCGGGATCTCCCGGGGGCATTGGTGTGTGCTCTACCAGTAGTGCCTAACCAGAGTTTTATAGTATGTATGGCATTATAATACATTATGAACACTTTATTCTTATCATACATTCACACGTTACACGGCGACTCTATGCCTGGCAATTAAACCGCTACGGCTGTACACAAACACGATCTGTGGGAAGATACGATACATCGTGTGGGATGGTCGCTGCATGAACAGAATCCAGCCGCACGCACAGATGTACGTACCTGCTACATATATGGGTCTCTCGGACCATACCCAGGACGCATTGGAACGGACCAACACCTGCCCATTTGAGTCTTGAAGCGACATGATGACACCCGCAATGGTGAGATCAGCACTGTTCTGGACCCGCATTTGAATGAGGTTGGGCCCCTTCTGCAGGGTCACTGACACCGGCGGAATAGGATTCCAAACGCTATAAAGCTTGCTGGTACCTGTCTGCATGCCGTTGATGTAAATCCAGACGTAATCATATGCGGTAACATATATATTGGCAGTCACCGCACTTGCAGCCCTGTAGACGTAGCTAAAAGTAGTTGGGGGGTTTGTGGGGGCGCCAGGGATCCACCATGCTGCGCCGCCACGTGACCAGATCCATTGTGCACTTGGGTCAACAGGGGAGACGAGGTCCCAGCGGCGACCTCCGGGGTTGTCCAAGAGGGCCACAGCTGCGACACAACAGATGTGCGATAGGCCGCAGCCGGGTGCGTGTTTCCATAATTACAATTTGAAAGATAGAAGAGATGATTGCAGGTGACCTGACAAGATGATTCCATCGGGCTTGCATGAGCGAACAAGAAGTGATGATTAATTGATGCAAACAATGAACCAAGACAGTGGCAACCGCCGTGCGACAAAAGCTATCTAGTGCCAAGAGTTCCCAATATTGTCCTTCTCACCGTTCACCTGCCCACGGTCGCTCGATTGCAACTTACGTCTCACTCCGCCTGCCACAGTTCTTGCATCCACGAAGAAGCCGGGACCTGCTCCCTCTTCACGTTTAAGGGTGCAGGTGTTCTTGCATCGCCTGAATACCCAGTAACGGCAGTCTGGGTGAACGGAGCATGCGCTGCAGCAGTCCCCTGACGATTGCATTGTGAGAATTGTAATTGTTGAGGCCTCCGTACCGTAAGTCGTACCAGGGAGCATGTGGGCGCACACTGCAAGTCGATCGGCACGCACATGTGTACACAGCGCAAGCTTATTAGGTGACCGCAGGTAATCGCATGAGTAGCAGATTACGGTATGTATCCTGCATACACATATACTTATCCAACCTTTGTGTAAGATGCGTCAGCAAGCGTTATTTTTTTGCGGAATATATTCCGAATTCGGAATAAAAAAAATGTTCGTGGTCCTGGAAGTTAAGAATAAATAATGTTCCGACCGTGCAAGTTCATTCCTCCAGCCAAAAATGGACTGTCCATGCCAAAGCCGCTAGAATCTCACAGGAGACATACATGTTAACCATATCATAGTACTTTAATGCCATGGATACTGCTAGGAAGCTCACGCCCGAAAGTCAACGAGGAATCGGACTGTTTCTGACCGGACCAAACGCTGCAAAACATTGACCCGAAGCTCCCAAAGCGTGTTAGGTCATTAAAGCAGATATAAAAACTCACTGAAGCCATTAGCGACGTTAATAAAGACGGTATAGAGGTCGTAGGGAATGTGGGCGCAATGCTGCAGCCAGCCGACGACAATGACGCCACTCCGGTTGTCAACAGCGAGCGGGCCAAACATCAATGTTCGTCATATGGAGACAATCGCGATGGTCCAGGAAACAGGCTGCGCTTGGTGGTTCCGGTCCATCGCTGCTATGCATCATTACTTTTGCAACCCGGAAAGTCGTGTAGTGTTATCTTTCAACATGATGCAAGACGAACGATGGTGAACGGACTCTATTCGATCAGTGTTTGAGAGATTGTGGTATGCGCGTGTTGCGGCATTCCCCACGGCGTTTGCACGAAGTAAACTGTAACTCCTTACAGATTCGGAATACTTTTATTCCCGCAACTAAAAACCTATTCCTCCGTTCGGACTGGAAAATTCACCGGCAAAATTGAAAAGAAAAACACTGTTGCTGACCTGGAGCAGCCAGGCATGCATTCACTCACGAGTCCAGGGCGACACTCAGATGCAACATGTATGGACCCAGAAAGGGTGACCTCCGTCATGCAAGATGCATGACGTGTACATACCGAGGACATGCGCAGCATTCGTCTGTAAAAACTTTGATCGTCTATAATAGATTGCACCCTCCTAAGAAAGGGTTTTAGGGTTTTAGGGTTAGGGTGCAATTCTATCAATATGTGTACATTATGACACTGTTCTCCCATCAACCTATTATGACACTGTTCTCCCATCAACCTAGCTAGTGCCTTGCCATGTCAGGGAGACTGTAGGAGGGTCGATTGAAGGAACAGCATGCAGGGACAACAGTGGAGCTGGATCCAGTTCTGTAACACAGCAAAGGCGTAACCCGGGATGCTCAGATTGGCATTTGCGTCGTTACATTGCCCCCCACTTAGCAATGGACGTCCTCGGCCATTATTTCGAGCACAGGAGCCATCCCACCTCGCGCCAGTGCGCTGGTTTATCCATTACACCATGAAATCGCCAATTTGCGACTTGCTGGTTGCCAGAATCGAACCGCCGACCCGAAGTTTATTTCGGAATTCGTGCGGTCCCGTCTCGATACCATTGTAACACAGCAAAGGCGTAACCCGGGATGCTCAGATTGGCATTTGCGTCGTTACAAGTTCCAGCATGGCAAGGAGAGCGGGAACTTGTTGCTGCCGTGGCAACTGTTAACAGGGGAGCCTATGGTGGGCCTGTGGATGCGGAGGCAGAGGACATTAACCCGCCCAAGAGGCAGAGAGTCCTGCCTCGCCGTTACAGCGACGAGGACGCCTTGCTGCGCATAAGTGAGGATGGTAATAAGAGCACGCAATCGGGGACGGACGAGAGCCCGGAAAAAGATGATGATGCATCTGGGAGTGGACACCCACATTCCAATGGCAGGGGTGGTGGGCGCGGAAGGGGAAGGGGGGCAGTGGTGTTTGCTCTGGGCGGGTGGTGGGGGGTGCCTCTGCCGGCAGAGGTGGACATACGTCCACGCGTGGGGGCCGGATGAAAATGGCGGATGGGCCAGGGCGCGGGCGCGGGCGTAAAGGTGCTGCCCAGCGTTGAAATCTTAAAAGATTTGTGGGTATAGGATGACACTAGGTGCAGGCTGACCATACAGATTATTCATGTATTGTGTGAACACGAGTGTTTTTAGGATAGTGTGTTTAGGATTTTAGGATATACAGCAATCGGATCAATACTTATCAGCTGGTGTAGTGTATTTATGAAGTACTTGATAGTCTGTCCTTCTGTACTTCTTACATGTGTACTGTGTATTTATTTACAGTACTTCGTAAATACTTCGTACCCAGTGCTTGGTATAATATTGAAGTTCTTAATAAATGTTACTTCATATTTGTTTGAAGTTCTTGATACACGTTACTTCATAATTGCTTGAAGTTCTTAATAAATGTCACTTAATATTTGTTTGAAGGACTTAGTATTCGGTACTAAGCGCTTCGAGTACCATTAGTGTGTAACATGATACTAAGGGTGTATTTCCAGTGCGGATTAAGGCCAGGGATTAGAGCACGGAAGTCCTTGGTACGAGCTTACCACATAGCTTCGTTCCATAAGGGAACCAAAGGTTGAAAAGGCGAGGTAAGTTTGCCAACAACTTAGCCGTTTGAGCAGGTATCGATGGAGGACAGAGGCTTAATCCCTGGCCTTAATCCGCACTGGAAATACACCCTAAGTGATCTACTAAGCGGCCTATTAAAAAACACGCCCATTAAGAATGTTACCAGGTAGCTATGAAGGACATATGAAGTGGGTAGCACTAAGATGATATTAAGATGATATTAAGAAGATACTAAGTGGTGGCGTTCCACGAGTGAACGGTCCCTGTAAGTGTGTAACAGGGAGTGGTATCTTCGCCCGTGGCAGCTACCCTGCGAAACCCTGCCTTCCCCGGTATTTGGGGGCACCCTCATCCAGGCACCCTAGTCAACTTCTCAGTGGATCGCTCAGGTTCCGCACCCACAACCAGCATCCAACGGAATCTGCCGGGTCAACAGCGGCCCAACTCCATTCCAGGTCACCACCGTCCATCATTTAGGGGCGCGATACCTTCCACCACCATCGGAAGGATTTTTGACCCTAACGGATATCGATCCCGGGATCTCCCGGGGGCAATGCTCGCGCGGTACCAGTGGTGCCAAACCCTGAATATTATACCAGCAGGGCACGATCTAAACACGACCATATATTTTGCAGACTTGGACTTCTGAAAACTCATCTTAAGATGCTGGTGGAGTGCATTGATCAAACACTACTGGCCGATCATCAATTACTTTTCCAGCGGGAACGTAAGTTAGTGTCATATACACGGCAAAAACGGTGAAATATGGGAGGAGGATGGTCACAAGTGTTCGTGTGTACAGCAGCTTATCATGTGCAGCGGGTGGTGAGGGCCCATCCATGGCATTCCTTGTTGCAGCACTGCTTCCATATTTGTTTTCTTCATTTATTCCCATCCCTCATTTCGCTGTTCTTCCTTTCATTTGCAAAACCTGGTTGGATACCTATTGATACATTGAGCTTTGCTCGCTCCATTCCAGTGAATGGCCATGGAGCTGGCCAGCTGGTCCCATGGGACCCCACTTATCACCGGGGCCGCCTCCTTCCTGATGAGTTGCATCGGATATATAAGCGCTGTTGGCCTACAATGATAAAGGCGCACATGCAATTAATCGATGCACACACCCACCTGCGGAGGCGGCGTAATATCCAAAGACTTGGATCTCCGTGATTTGTAATGTAGGTTGCTTAATTTGTAACGTGACCCATCGTCCGACCTTGGGCGTGTCAAAGGGGATGGTCGCTGAAGCATTGATATAGGTACCGGCATCTTGCTGCCAGACCAGGGGGTTTCCTGTAATGTTGCGTGTATCACCCCCGCCTGCTGCATTAGTAATGCTGACATTCCCAATGCGCAGCTCTGCATTCCGCAGTCGATCCTGACAGCAATCACGTCGGTTGATGATGACAACCCGCTTCACAAGTGCCACGGCACCCAGGTCAACAGAAATCCAAGGCGTCGGATCGGAGGCCTCCGAGTGAAATAAGCTTAAGGTGGATGCATGGAGGGGACTTGGATACTCCGTGACTCCATCCACCGCGTAACCTGGGTAGAGGTAAGTGGACACTTCCCACGTCCAGTTGACTGATGATGCATATGTTGCCTGACGCAGGGCCAAGTTAGGTAGATCGTCATCGCCTGCATGAATGGACACGCACATGGGATGCACGCATGGGAGACTGTAACACAGCAAAGTCGTAACCCGGGATGCTCAGATTGGCATTTGCGTCATTACATTGCCCCCCACTTAGCAATGGACGTCCTCGGCCATTGTTTCGAGCACAGGAGCCATCCCACCTCGCGCCAGTGCGCTGGTTTATCCACTACACCAACTTGCGATATACTGATTGCCAGAATCGAACCGCCGACCCGAAGTTTGTTACGGAAGTCGTGCAGTCCCGCCTCGATACCATTGTAACACAGCAAAGGCGTAACTCGGGATGCTCAGATTGGCATTTGCGTCGTTACAGAGACACGCATGGGACACGTTAGCGTGTGCACTGCAAGCATGCGCGAGGAGGTGTTTTTCCAACAGAAACAAAAAGAGGCACCTCTTCCAGCAGGCCAGGTAGGTACCCAATCGCCGGTACTACAAGCAAGCAAGTTCCACACCTACACGCACCTTAGGCAGCATACAAGTCACTCATGCATCATCTCGGCCAGCAGAAGCACCTTACTGGTACCCTTCCCAACCGTAATCCGTAAACAAGAACACCACACATCCAGCGAAGGTAAATGAATAGCGGGGGAAGTGCTCCACTGGACAGCTTTGGAATGGACCGCTGCACATTCCACTGAAGGTGTAAAAGTACCCCTTGCAAAACGCACGTTATCTTATGGCCATTGTGTATCATTTCGATATAACAGAAATCCGTTCACGCACCAGTTGCACAGGTTGCCATCATTAACGTCGCCAGCAACAGAAGTGGAAGGGAAATAACAGGCATAACCGCCGAGGATGTGGACGGTTCGCCTCGCCAGCAGCTGCTGGCGGCCTTGCGCCTTGCCATACTGCAATCATAGCAGCGGCATGTGCATGTCTATCTTGTCAGAGTTGAAATCGAAATTAAGCGATGCAATACAGCAATTACTCAAGCAAGTCATCGTGCTATGTATGGAAAAGATGGAGATTAGATGACCGGCGGTAGCAGCTTGTGCTGTTCGCACCCAAGCACTGTACAGATAGGCCACAAAAGAAACTAATGGGTGCCAAGGTGAAACCAGCAACGCAGCTCGCTCGGAAAGCACCAACTGCAAATAAGCGGGGATAGACACTCCCCTTCATCATGGGATTATTCCCGGCAGCAGCTAGTGCTCCCACATGTTTAGTTTCATCATATTTTTCTTCACCACTCATCAGCAATCAATATGCAAGAACGGAAGCCTTGTATGCATACAGATGGCAATTGCTAAGAACGTTATCGGCCAGAGGAGCCGCGGCCGTGCAAAAAGGAAAGCAGCGCGGATGCAGTTCAGCCGTCCTGCTGCGAGAAGTATTTCTGAACCGCGTTATTTGACTCGTGATTTTTGCGCTATGGGGGTTTCTTACTTACCTGGTTGCGATAAGCTCCAAAGCACGTTCTTTCGATCGGTGCGGCGGTGGAAGTTGGCAAAGACTGTGGTAGATGTTTGCCCAAAAACGTGGAAAATTGAATGTGCAATTATTGCACTTTAAATGAAATGCGAAAAGTATTACAAAAGCGTTTCGGATGCTTTCTGCGGGTATATGCCGTACCTTTGTTACGCCCGCGGGCGGACGACCGCGTTCCTCCTACCGTAACACTTCGTGACACTCGTGAAGACGTATGTTGTTAGGGGGTGATTCCACCCGCGGCCGCAGGTTAGGAGTCCAGCTGGACTAATAACTCATTACGGATTAGGAGTTGTAAGGGATTTGTGTTCGTTGGCTTGGCTTTGATCAGTACGACTCTGTGTCATGCATGGCTTTGCCAGACTATTTTAATATCCCTACACATTTATATGTAAGCTTAGCATTCTTTCCTTCTTTGTCTCTCAGCCAGCGTCGGATGTCGGGCTATGCGGACCGGGCAAGTTAGGAACTAAAGCTTCCTCCAGTCGCCAACTGGAGCTAGTTCCTTCCAGATGTAATAATTCGTGGCGTATGGAAGCATCCAGCGCGCGGGTTATGAATGGCGGAGTTAGTAATATGGCGGAGTTTGTGGCCATCGCGATCGCACGCCCGTGTACGAGCTTTGCACGGATTAAATTTTGATCACTATGCCATATATGTCCGCGTTCTTGCCGAAATAGTGGCACAGACTCGGTGATATATATTTGCTACTCGGAACAATCACCAAATTTCGTTCGCCGTCTCGACAAATCTCGACAACATTGCGGTCTTAAACCTTCGTATTGATAGTCAATTGCCTTAAATGGTCAGCAGTATCTTCTATACTAGTCGTTTTTGCCTTTCACGTATGGAATATAAGTATCGGAAATATTTGCGTTTAATCCGTTCCTTATTCCAGACTTCTGCTGTCCTTCGCTGCTTGTACATCTTGATTACACTTCTTCACACTAAACCCCCCCGGCAGCGATATCACCAGGAGCGAACCCAACGTAAACTTCGTCCAACAGGTCGCGGGCAAAACCTGATAAAACATCCATTCAGATAACAAGAACGAATTCCCTGCACCGCCCCACTGATCAGCTTACCAGCCATACGATCTGCCCGCTGATCGGCTCGACCCTACCCTAACTCGACAAGCTGTGTTGGCTTCCTTGAAGTCGGAAAAAGGGCGGGGCCCCCCTGCATCCGTACAGGCCGGTAACTAGGGCGGCACGTGTGACAATTGTTCGGTATTGTGAACGAGGTGGGAGCTGTGCTTGTCAGTGCGCCAGCGGCTTCAGCAATCCGCCCCACAGCCGCGAGCTTCTTCGCGCGCGAGCTTCATCGCGGCACACTGCAACTCTTCGGAGGCCCCGAGCATTGGCCAAAGTTATTGTACAAACGAGCAGCTTGCGTACTTCATAGAGAAATGAAAGCAAATTTGTCGGCCTGCTGGTGGCAAGTCGGAATGCTGACGCAAGCTGGGTGTTCGAGTTATCATACGCCATCAAATCAGAATTCCATAATAAGATACGCGACACTTTTTGAGATTAAATTTAGCCTGAGAGGCGTTGATATGACTTTGTGAGGCAGCCAAACTTCTTTGTGCTCATACGCTTTCTGTTGGCTACACGCGGAATACCTTGCAATAGAGAATGCAATATATACCAATAACGCGTTTCAGCCGGGCGAGGTGTTATGTTTGGTCCGTTGGTCCACACACACACGGCCACACACACGGCCACACGGACATGGGCAATCCTACAGGGCGGGGGCCCCCTTTGCGCTTCACGCTGGGGCCCCGCCCAAACACCCCGTACTTATTTCGGACCAGTGGCCGGCCATAAAACTTAAGCTCAAACCACCGGGCAGTCCAGGCCCGGTGGATTACGAGATAGACACGTAAAGAAAGCAAGTGCACCCAGCCAGGGGGTGGTGCAGGCGGGGGGAACAAAAAAGGCAATCTGAGGTAGCAACACGGCGAATAGCCATAACAGGATAGTGACCACCAGTCGCTTGGGGAGGTTTGCCTGCCGCTGCTTGGGAATCTGAAGAATTTCCTTCATCGTGTCGTTCATATAGCGGCCCTTGGGCCTTCGGCTCGTATGGGTAGTCTTACAGGTATGGGGTCACGCACCCCCAACCATGTAACACACACACACATATAGCGGTCTGGCATGCCATCTGCCGCCAAGACCAACATGTCGTTCAGAACGACGGCGGTCTCCATCTTCTGATATCGGTTGTAAGCTGACTTTGCTTCCTCGTGCTTCGCAGAATCCAAGCATGCCGCCTCCTGTTTGGCGATTGCAGCGCAAAGCTCCCCTTCGCCTCCCGCACAAGCCTCTCAAACCCCTCGACCAGTGGCTTCACAACCTTCTCCTTGGTGGCCCTCAGTCTTCCCGCGGTTTCACGATGTCCGGCAATGGTGGCCTTGCTCTCCTTGTATGTATGTATGTTGTTACAGTGTGGTTAAGCATCACCAGCGGCCCCCTTTCCCTTGGAGGCAGTTCCCTGCTCTCCCCTGCGAGAGGGGCACCCTAATCCATTCACCCCATCCGACTCCAGAGTGTATTCGTTGGGTTCGGCAACTCACTACCAGCATCCAACCAAATCTAGAGGATCAACGGTGCATCAACTTCGTTCCTGGTCTGCTCTCAAGTTGATATTATCACATACTACACCGTCCACAAGACGGGGGGCCACCTCCCATTTTAACACCTCTCAGACACCCGAGAGGTCGGCAGGCGGAATTTGAACCCGGGTCGGACGGGAGCAGAAGTCAGGCCTTAATCTCTGCCAGCCGCCTGCCTATTGTATGTTGCCTCGAAACTGGCCATCCTACACACACGGGCGTGAAATGTGGAAGAAAAGCAGGACTCAATACATATGGCATTGCGAATAAAGGTGTAAAGTTCAGCTCCTAGCCTTCCCTTAGAAGGGTACCCAAAGTAGGACACTGTACGACATAGGTCACCGGCACCACACATGCATCCGGGTTGTCGCTGTCCTTGCAAAGGAAAAACTTCACATTCTTGTCACGCTTACGTTACGGGGTCGGTGGTGCAGAGGGTGTCCAGAATCTTGGACAGCGTGCGTACAAAGGCCGAGTACAGGCCATCCTCCTGCGTCGCGTCCAATGACACCATCATGTTGTACACGGATCCAAGGTTCATAAGCTCGTGGTTGAGCTCTGGGGGGAATGTGTGTCGGGCCAAACTGGCCATCTTTGGCAGCTCTCGTGATCATGCTGAGGTAGTGCTCGGTCGTTGCGTTCGGTGATGCACCTCGTCCACCGTAACGAGAGAAACATGTCAATGTTTGACAGAGGCATTTCAAGTAAGGCCCTGTCAGGATGCACAGCAGCTTCCTGTTTACAGCAAAGGCAGCCTCCCGGAATACTGCTGTTTCTAGTCCAAACAATGGGCAACGATTTTCCACATGAAAACTAGCCTTCCAACAAGTCCTCCAAAGGAGAACGTGCAACTTGGGTGTCCGAATCTCGGGGCAGGGCAGCAGATCCCGACGCCTCGCTGTGGTCAGGATGCTCATCGTGAAGGCGAGCGTGCTACTCAACCCTGTAGCCGTCATCATCGTTCCTTTGCCGATCAGTAGGCACATCTGCTTCACATCGTTCGTTACCACCGTGACTTCCATTGCCGTCCACGCGCGCCACATCCTCATACTTGCCATTATATAGGGATTGGCACTACTGGTAACGCGCGACCATTGCCCCCGGGAGATCCCGGGATCGATATCCGTTAGGGTCAAAAATCCTTCCTATGGTGGAAGGCATTGAGCCCCTAGTTGATGGACGGTGGTGACCTGGGATAAAGTTAACCTACGAGCCGACCAGGAATGGAGTTGGGCCGCTGTCGACCTGGCAGATTCCGTTGGATGCTGGTGGTGGGTGCGGAACCTGAGCGATCCACTGAGAAGTTAACTAGGGAGACTGGATGAAGGTGCCCCGAAATACCGGGGAAGGCAGGGTTTCGCAGGGTAGCTGCCACGGGCGAAGATACACCCCCCTGTTTCACACATCATCATCATCATCATCATCATTCTTCTTCTTCTTCCATGATGCACAGCTTCCGACGCTTAGGGTTTCCCTCTCCAGCTCTGGCCTGACGCCTCTTGCGAGCTGCTGTGGGGTCCATAATATCAGTTGTGTCTCCTGAGTGGGGGCTGGGTTGTGTGATAGGTGCCGCTGCCATTGCCACTCCCGTTACTGCTGCCGCTTCTGCCGCTTCTGCTGCTGCTGCTGCTGCTGCTGCTGCTGCTGCTGCTGCTGCTTGGTGAGCAGAACGCCGAAGAGCCTGTTCAGGCACTGCTGGCGACGCAGTCGCCGCTGCCATCGGAGGTTTGCTCGGGCCCCCAGCAATGTGTGCCACTGCTGGTTGAATCCGCACAGACCCAGGTGCTGCCGCCGCAGGAGAACTG